GGGCGAGATGATAGGGGTGATGTCGCTCAGACTGAAACTCCAGCCAGAACTTTGATAAGTTGCAGCTGTGATCTCTCTGTCTGAGTAGGCATCCATGATCATTGGTAGTGAATTGAAAGTCTCCCATGCCCACTGTTCTGATTCTTGGACAGAATGATTCACCAAGTCTTCAGAATTGTCTTCATCCCAGAAGGCACACTGACAGGTCTGCGGGCCCTCCCTGTACTCTGCACCGCAGGAATAACAGAATTCATGCCCGCACGTGAAAAGTAGACACGGGAGCCCAAGCATCATTAGTATTTTGTACCTCCGTAATTTCTAACAAAGTAAAGTTTGAAGAAAACCAGTTAATCAATCTGAGTAGGTGTGCATGTGCACAGATCATAAAATTCTCTCCTAGAACCTATATAGGCTGATATGTCAAAGGAAAGCTCTACTTTATGCAATAAACTCAATGTTTCTTTTACAGATTGTCTTCACACACAGAACAGAGCCATAAAAGAAATCTATGTGCATCAATGAAGCAAACATTAGAGTAGGAATTATGTTCTAAACAAAATAAACAAGAACAAATCGAAGGCATAATACATTTGCCTTGAAGAACGCAAGCCAATTCTTAGTTACAAACCTGATCACATAAGCAGGTAAATCCAATTCTTGAAAACAACCCAGCAAAAGAAAACTAAAGACGTATTATTTCCTATCAGTCTTCTCTCTTCCTTTTGCAATTCTTGTTTGCACAAGTGGGTGGGGTTACCAGAATGGTGTAGAACAAATAGGGTTTGTTTGTCTAATTATGAATTTAAGGATAAAAACATAAACATCACACAAAGAGTTTCTTAGATATCACATCTAACAAATCTTAAACATCACATTTAAGAGTTTGATTACATCACACAACCATAAAACTAAAAAACTCTCAAAATACATTATTGAATACTTGAATACTCCAACATATGAAATTACAAGCTATTTATAATAATCTCTAAGTAATCTTTCTTAAGTAGAATTAAAATAAGAAATAGTAAACTAATAGAATTAGGAATAATTAATCTTAATAAGAATAAGAAATTGATACTAATAATATTAGAATTAAATCTTAATACAAATAGAAAAGTACTAATGAGAATAAAATCCTAAATTACTAAAATTATAATTATACTCCTAAATAATATAAAATAGCCTTGTAAATAGCATAAAAATTTTACATTTAATATAACTAAAATTTTATAATTTATTTAAGAAATCTAGTGCTAGCCTATTTTGCATCGTAGAGAGTAGTCAGTTTCTTCCTGAGCCGCACTAGTAACTTAGCAGCCTGTTCAAGCATTAGAATTCAGAGCTGCAGCAAAATTGGCACAGATGGCCATAAAAGAAGTTTTAACCCACAACTGATAGTATATAACAGCAGCCACCTTCTAAGGATTTACTTTATTTATGAATTTACTTCTTTACGATTTAATTTATGTTTTCCTAAGTTATTTATGATTTCCTAAGCAGTATTAGCATCTATATTTTTGGAAATTCTTAAGATTAATCCTTTCTGAAAATGTTACTTAGAAAGCACCAAAAATAACTTTATAATCTCACTTTTGAGAGCAATTCCATTATTCAATAAAATTACTCTTGAGAATTTTCTCAACATCTTATTTGGGTGATGCAATCAACTTCTTAAATGAGATGCTTAAGAACCCTTTCTTAAATTTGTTGTCTGAGTAACCTCATGTGTAGAAATGTTTTCCCAAGTTTATTATAAGCTTCTAAGTAGGCAAATCACTCATGACTTGTCCTCAATCAACAACATTCTTATTACTAAAGAAATATTTAGAAAGAAAGATATATCTTACCGACAAGTCATATGGTAGCAACCTTGGGTCAGTTCAATCATCCTTCGGCATTGCTGACAACGCTTCCACCTTTTATTCTGTGCCAAACGATGCAAGGTAATGTCTGAGGCATCTCTTTCCTCAAGAGGCAGGTTCTGGTACTCTTCGCAGCTCATTGCCGAATGCCAAGGCACCTCACATTCCACACAGATAAACCTCTGACAAACTGGGCACTCAACACAACTATTTCCGGACATACTTGATGAACTTGCACTTGGAGACAAACATTCCTGAGAATCAAGCAAGGCAGAACAATTTGGATAGGGGCAGTACATTTTATCTGAGTGAAAAATATTTGCTTCTGCAAGTGCTCTTTCCAAAGACTCGTAGGACGTAAGTGGAAGGAAAGATTTGCATTCAGTGGTTGAGATAAAATACTTGCATTTCAACTGAGGGCATCGGATGGGGACTTGAGATGACTGAACCTTTCCATCTACATAGGTTCTCATGCAATGTGAACAGAACTTGTGGGAACATTTCATTTTAATCATCATCAGTGCTGGCTTGTCCTCACAGCAGATGGAACAACTTTCAACAGACTTATCTCCCTCGGAAGGAGAAGAGACAACTCCAATTGCTACTTGGGCTAATTCAAGTGGTCTTTCAAGATCCTCTCTTGGAACTAAATCTAGAAAAAAAGCATCTAGACTATCTGTCTGTTCAATGATCCTTTGCCTCAGAGCAATTAAAAGTGGGGTCTCAAGTTTGTCCTCATGCATAATCTGCCACTAAGTTATGTCACTAGAACATAGTTGAAAGTAGCCTATGAAAAAGTATGCATTGTTAACTCAAAATAAATTGTTTTACCATTAAATCCTATGATATCTATCCTCCATTAATTGCTTGTAAACAACCATTCAATGTTTTTCACTCCTCAAGCGAACAAGTCTAAAGCGATTAAAAACTGTGTATTCTACCTTTTTTGCTGTTAAAACCAACTACAAAAACATAACATGCAGAAATAAATGCTTTCTTAAGTCTTTTTACCAGAATTAAATACATTAAATGGCTATTAAAACACAACTATCATAGATCCAGCTAAGGATAAAGACAAATATAAGAAAATTTCCTAAACATAAAATCCTACCAAACTTGAAAGTTCTCAAATAAGCTTATCTGCAAAAAATGATCAAAATGAAGGGCAGAATTAGTTGTTAAAAAAGCCTTCAGAAATATTATTTGAAGATAAAACAAGATACTAGACAAAAGTGATTGAAGTCAGTGATTGTTAGGCCACATATTTAGTATCATATTAACCATATGATATTGGACATTCCATATCAAAATTACAGAATAGAAATATATGAACCTCGAAAGATGGACTCACCTGATCATAAAGCAGCTCAGAGTCAGTGAAAGCATATACACGATTGATATTATTTTGAATGGCCTCTGCAAGACCGTCCATCAAGGCCAAATAATCAGCCACAGATTCCTCAACATAAAAACCAAGCTTTTTCTGCACCTGAATGAGAGGAATATTGGGTGATCTCTCCATCACCACTCCAATTCCGGAATACCCAGAACCAGCATCCCCCGCCTCAGCTATTGATATCCCCTTGAAAAACATCTTCACTGAAAATTCATCAATATCTTCCTTTGATTCTTCAGTCTTCCCCAATTCTTCAGTCTCCTTCCACACCTCTTCATCCTCACAACAGCTTCGGAACTCTTCCTCATCTTCCTCTAATCTCAATTCTCTGACTGAATTTACATGAGACCCATGAGAAAGACTCTCTTGGTCCTCCATATTCAAAGCCAATTTCTCCCAACCCCACCGCAGTCAGGAGCAATATAATGCTTTAATACGCAGTCAAAATCTAACCGCCACTAGTCAATCTGAAATGCCGTAAACATCCAAATGAAAAGATTCTCTTGGTTCCTATATAATTCAATGCAATTCAATCCAAATCCTGAAAAAATACAAGCGCATATATTTAACATCAGGAAGAGATCTTTTTCCACTCCAATTAAATTCCAGAGTCTTTCACAAAATATCCATCATCACATGAACTAAAATCTACGAATTCTTAGACCCAAACCATCAAATTAAGATCATGACAAACTAAGACCAACCCAAACAAGGAAAAAAAAAAGATATAGGAAATGAACATAATAACTCTCCCCAAAAAAACAAGAAAAGAAAAAAGGAAAACATAATCGAAATAGAGTCAATCTAATACCCAAACCGACTAAGATCGTAAATCCAAAACGAAAACGCAAATCTAAATAGATTGACGATAAAAATATAGAAGAGGGGGAATAAGTTAAAGGGCGACAAGTGAAGGTTCCATACTAAGGGAGAAAAGATAGAAGATATGAAGAGGGAATTTAGGGAGTAAATGGAGAGAAGGTGTGTTAAGGAAAAAGCATATAAAAACCCTAACTTGACACTGCCTCGTTGTGCCCCCCTCTTCTTCCCAGCCTTGTCTTCTCTTTTCTCTGAGAAAATGCTTTTTCTTTTACTTGGTAAAAGATTAAGATATTGAAACAGAAGGGGAGAGAGAGAGAGAGAGAGTATTTGGCGTTTTAATGGCGTAAGGGAAAAGTAAAGTCGTCCGACATGGCATTCTCGCTTGACATGGATAGAAACACAGTTTTTGGAGGATGAGTTAAGGAGTCTTTTGCAATTCACAAGATTCTCATATTATCATCACATAATATTAATTTTATAATAAAACAATTTTTACATGATAAAATGATTTTTTTCAAGCAAATTGTTAATAAGAAAAGGAAATTAATTTAGTGGGTAAAAGGGTGAAATACTTGCAATCAACTCTTTTTTTCAAAGTGCCCACTTTTTCAAGATTCTTCCAACATTAAATTCATGCTAATAATTATTACACCCATGTTTGACTTGTTACCTCACTGCATGATGAGAGAGGGATCAAAGAAACAAAACAAGGAGAAATAAGTTTACTCTTAGGTGAAAGAATATAACTTTTATTCTATTTTTTAAAGTATATATAAAATTTCTTGTACTATAACTATTTCACTCCCCTTAAAAGCAAGAAAATACATATGAAGGTAAATGTGCTAATTGTTTATTGTAAAGGTTACTCCTTTTTTTAAAAAAAAAAAAATGGAGTCATTCTCATATTCACCCTTTTTCTTTTTATGTTACATTTAAAAAAAAAATTAAAAGCTTAAGTACGATAAGTCTCTAATAGAAAGTTTGATTGTAAGTGAGACTAAATTTGTATTTGTTAAAGGGTGTTAGTTGTTGGATAATATATAGAATGCATCTAAGGTGGTCAATCTAATGAAATAGAGGAGATAAGACTTTTCTTTTCAAAATAGACTTTAAAAATGTATATGATTCAGTGAATTACAACTCCTTGGATGTGGTGATGGAAAAAATAAACTTAATGCTAAACTTAGAGAATGGGTTAGGCGATGTGTCTCGAAGGTTAATTGATCACCAACTAACAGTTTACAATGAAAAAGGGATTAAGGTAAGGAGACCCTTATGTCCTTTGTTGTTTAACCTGGTGGCCAAGTGTTTTTCGAGGGTTATGGAGAAGACAAGGGAGTTATAGAGGATTAGAGGGATTATCTTGGGGAATCTAGGTCTTATAATCAATATCATGTAACATATGGTGGTGGGTACGTAGCATTCATGGGTATGATAAGATAACATATTTCCATGAAGAGAAAATCTATATAAGTATATGGTGTTCTTAAAAAGGGATCATTAGAAATAGCCTAGAGGTTTATAGACAAAGTGTGAGGGATAGGGGTCGTTTTAGGATTTGTATTGGTGATAGGAAAAGAATTAATTTTGAAATGACGTATGGGTCAGTGAAAAATACTTGAAGAAAAAGTTTCTCATATTTTTTTATATTTTCATGAAAAGACTTTAGGTGGTTAAGGATTTCGACTATTAGAAAAATAATAAGTGGATATGGATAGGGCATATTTAATGAAATCTAAGTGATTAAGTATTAAGCAAAATGCAGGGGGTAGGAGTGTTCGTGCTTCAGAGAGCTCAACATAGAACTCTGAACGCACTCACAAAATAAAAGTAATTGAATGGTAGCTTCTAAAAGGGTAAGTTTTAGTGGTAGATTATTTGCATAAGTGTTGAGTTAAGCTAAAGGTCGCCAATAAATGTGTCTTATGTGAATATGAGTTAGATTCGATAGATCATGTGTTTCTATATTGTGAATGAATTTAGAAAATGGGGCTAATTGTATGGTTAATGGGGTATTGCATGGGTTTATTCTATGTCAGTTAATTGATGTTTAATGGGAGACCAAGGTTATGGGGGTAAGAAATGGAGGGAGTGTGTGGGAGATTTATTGTTTTGTGTGGGTGTGTGGAGAATTTGGTTGGTGAGGAATGAGAGAATTTCTAAGTAGAAGTCTATGGGAATGAAAGAGTTTATAGATATTATCATAATGAGACCAGCATGGTGGTTAAAGGTAAGTGTTCCCACCTTTGAACCACTTTTAGTTAGTACCATTTTCACTTTTGTCTTTAAGTTGTTTGTCCTTAAAAATGGTTACTGTGAATTTAGCTTCCATGTGGTCTTGTCCATCATCGAGGACATGAAAATTTAATGCTGATGGGTCATCATTGGACAAATCTAGCACGATTGGAGTTAATGGTGTGCT